GAGCACGGGGGTGCCCACAGGAGGGTATATTTATGTATATGCTTGGGCATGTGTGGGGGCAACTCCTGCCAAAATGCACAAGTGCAAAATGCACTGGGGTCAGCACAAGGGAGAGGGAGCCACGGAGCTTACAGGAGCCTGCAAAAGCAGTAGGGGACAATGAAGGTGGGAGGATCAGCGGACCCCCAGCTCCCCCAGTGCTGCGGGCAGCTCTCAGGACAGGGACAAGTGTGTGTGGGGGGTCAATCACGGCTGCGTGGGCGCCTGAGCAGCCTGAGGGACACCAGTGTCACTGCATGTGCGTGTCTAGCTCGGATCCCTGGTGCTGGACAGTTTGTGTTGCAAAACTTGCAGCATCTTCCCAAGGGAAAGAAAGGAAGTTTATAGTATTTGGGTTAAAAAAATCCCAAACCTCTATAACGTTAATGGCTTTTTTTTTTTTTTTTTTTTTTTCCTTTCAAATGAGTAGAGCACAATTTTCCCTTCAATTGCCCAAGCTGAAAACATCTGGACAGATTAATTAAATTAAAAAACAAAAACAAAAAATAATAAAAAACACGAAGCAAAACAAACAACAACAACAACAAAAAAACCCTCTAGACCAAAAAAAAGACTGGTTTTTTTAACCAAGGTTGGGGGGGGGAAACTTTTTAGGAAAGTTTAGAGTAACATCGATAGACCTGTAAGGGGGAGATTGAGAAACCCAGACAGCATCTCAGCTCAGCAGCTTCACGAGAAGCGTCTGATGGATGTGTTTCTGGAGGTCACGGTGGAGCAGAGCTGTGTCCGTCTGTTCCCTGAGCTGCATCGCAGAGCCGGGTGCATCCCAAGTGGCATGAGAAATCCCGAGCCCATGGTGTCTGTGCCGTGCTGCCCTCCGGCAGGACCCTGCACTCCCAGGAGAGGGCCCAGTGCCACCCTGTATCCTGTGTGGGGACACAACCCATTTGACCTTGTTCTTCCTGGTCACTTACAAGTTTGTTGTAGCCACAGGTGACACTGGGTTTTGGCCAGGGCTCCTGGCTCCCTCGCCTGCTCCATGGATAGGCTCCGGCTACCCGGATATCTAGACTATCTAAGACTAGCCCGGCTATCCGGCTACCGGCTCCGGGGAGCAAAGTCCTCCCAGCTCCGGGCTTCTCTGCTCCCTCCAGAGCTGCCTGTAACTGTCCTCCTCTGTCCCCATTCCCGGCACCCCTCTGTCCGGGGGTGTCTGGGGACACGTCCACCCCTCAGGGGAGACTCCGCCGGGGACGCGCTCTGCCAGCCACACGGCAGCTGCCTCCTGGCCACCCCAGCTCGCAGCTCAGCCCCAGGCTGCCCCTCTGGGAAAATGCTCTCGTTCCCCGCGTGTGTGAAGGCTTGGGATCCTCCTCCTGGTTGTACCAGCATCCCGGCTGTCCTGCCAGGCTCTGCGGTGCTGGGGAGGCTCTGTGATGGGCAGCACAGGCAGGCAGCGGAGGTACCTGCACCGGCCCAGTCCCTGGGGTGGTACCCATGACTCCTGGAAAATCAGTGTGGGGAGGCAGGAGAATCTTGCCTGGCAATGCAGGATCCAAAGAAGCGCGGCTCTGAACAGCACAGAAACTGTGGCTCTGGTTCTGCTGAGCATCCCTGTCTCCTTCCATCCCCGTGTATCTGTGTCCCACCATGCCCATGCCCATGCCATGCTCTGCCCTCCCTGCTGTGGGCATTATCCCAGCTCCTTGCTAAGCCCTTCCCCAAGGGTGATTCCTCCACGCATGGACGGTTGCCATCTATGTCTCCGACTCGGCATCCTGCTCAGCTCTACTTCTGACCCCATGCTTTCTCCCTGGGCTGGGATGCAGAGGAGGGAGTCACAGAGCCTCTGCTCCGCCAGCTGCGGCAGCTCCCTGCCCAAGCTGGGCCCCTGTTCCTTCTGCAGCCCCGGCTCGCAGGTGCTGGGAGGAGAAGAGGAGGGCAGCCAGGAAGACAGGCCAGGCCGGCCGGGGTGGCCATGTGGTTTTCACCTGACTCATAGTGAGCAAATGCGGGCAGGTCGCCGGGTGTGAGACTGAGAGGGCAGAGGTGCTGGGGGCTCGGATGCTGCTGGGCTGGTGCTTCCTGGTGCTGTGACTAATCCTGCCGCAAAAGGCAGGGTCGCCCTGCAGAGCCACCCGGGCCCTGACTCACGCGGCTGCTGCTCCAGCCCTGTGAGCGCAGCTGGGCAGGGGCAGCCAGGAGAGCTCGGCTGGAGGATGGCGAAGGTGCTGGCTGGCACACAGCTGCCTTCACATGATCCAGGTGAACGTCATCTTCCTCCTACTACTACCATTGGGCTTGTGGGTCCTGCTGCAAAGTGCCGCGCAGCTCCCAGCACCCTTCCCCACCAGTGCTGCCAGCATGGGCTGCTGCTGGATGTGGTCCTGGGCTCAGCTGGAGTCCTCGTGGCCCCTTAGTGCACAGGAGCATGTCCCACGCCAGGTGTCCCTGCTTGCCTTGCAACCCCTGTCCCCTCCAGCCATGGGGATGCGCATGGTGCCCAGGATGACAAAGTGGGAGCAACAGCAGGATCCCAGCCTGCATGTATGAAGGGAGCGGAGCAGGAGAGGGGCAGACAGGCTGGGAGCTGGGAGCGGGTCTGTGGTGTGCAGATGGCGAGATGGAGGGATGGATGTTTTTCCAGCTCCTTGCACAAAGAACAAGTTCAGGTCTCTCCTAAGCAGCTCCAGAGAAGGAATCCTGTGGTCCCTGACACCAGCAGGGAGTATTAAGGTCTCCCCACAGAGCCCTGTGCTAGGGATCCTCACAGGGACCTCAGCCCTTTTCCTGTCCTTCGTGCCAGCTCTGAGTTTTCTGCATTGCGGGTGGTCCCGGGTGAAGCAGAGCCTGGGGCTGGCGAGGACTCGGAGGAGCAGGGTCCTGCATGCCCGACAGAGCCAGCGATGGCTGCGTGCTCGGGACCAGCCTGAGCCCCGGCCTGGCACCACCAGCTGTGCCAACCTGCCAGAGATGGTGGACTCGGTAGCATGGGAGAGAAAAGTCCCACGTGCTGTGTGAAAGCAGATGGGATGGAGGCTAGGGACCAGCAGGTCCCAGGGTCCCATGTGTCTCAGCTGTGGCTGTAAGTCCACCCAGTGCTTGTAGGAGGTTTGGCTTTTGCCCTTAAGCCTACAGCCCTGGTCAGGACCAGAGCATCCTCCTCCAGCCCAGCCTTCATGCATTTCTGCTCTGAGGGCTTAGATCCCGTCCCTGTGGTTGTCCGCATCTCATCACACCACTAGAGATGCTTAATTGTGTGCTTTTGGTCTTCACTGGGTTGATGCAGGGGAAAGGCTGAAGTCAAGGGCTCTCCTGGCCCTTTTTTTGGCCCAGGGACATTGCTGTAACATGAGGAACCAGGGATCCCCTCGGCTGTCCCTCCTGCAAGCGCTAAGGCCACGGGCAAGACTCAATCCCTGCACCAGCAGGAGGGTGCGTGTGAGACACCCGCTCCTGGAAGCGATTATGTCATTAAGGGCCGGAGGAGCAGGAAAGCGTTTCCCCCTCATTTGCCTTGGCATTTATTTACGTGCGAGAGCCTAATGATCATACACAAACACCTGCCTCCCTGCCTGGGCGCCAGGTCCTCAGGGGCTGCCTTTGGGGAAGGAACCCCAAGGGAACCTGGAGAGCACCTACCCATCCCAGCTCCCTGCTGCCCACAGAGAGGGGTGTCACATGGGGTGGCCTAAGAAAGCAGCAGGTGGTGGAGCCCGCTGCAGGGTTTTGTCCCACTCCATCCCTGCTAGGCTCCAGGCAGCCCATATGGGAGTGTGAGGACCCCGGAGGGCAGCAGCCACGGGGGAATGGGCTGGGTGCTGGGGGCTATAACACAAGAGGCCACTCTGTGCACTCAGGGCATTGTCCCCAGGGCAAAAGGGTCCCGGAGCAGCCTCCCAGCTCGCCGTGAGGGCAGGAGTGCTGGAGTGGCCCCCTGTCCATCCTCTTTGCTGCCCTGCTACATGAGCCCCCCGGGAAGAGGTATTGGGCACAGGAGAGCAAAGGGTACCCCCAAAACCACAGAAGGACCCTAGGGGGATGCCACCCCCAAGAGTCCCAGAAGTGGCAGCAGAGCCTTTGGGCACAACCCCAGATTGCAGCTCATTTCCCAGAGGAAATGCATTTTCCTCCCTGGTGCAAACAGGAACCGACACGCACACAGAGCTGGCAGCCCCCGCCGGCACGGCTCTGCGGCGCCCC